TTCTATGGAAAGAGGGTGAAAAGCTGTTTTGTGCCTCTTTTTTTTGTATGTAAATGTGCAATTATACTGGATTTTCTCTTGTAAAAAACAACACTACAATTCTTTTACTGAAGCTCCTAAACTGCCATTTGCCTGACTCCAGCAATTAATTCTGCGGTGACTCATTGGGCTTCCAATACTTCTGTTGATTAGATATGGTCCCAAAAGAGCAAAATGGAAAATGCAATCCATGTCACCAAATATAATTGCTACAAGTAAGATGAAATACAGCTCACCAAAACACTAAACTTTGCTCTTGAGCAATTATAGAGTTTGATGTCCTTTTAAAAAATAAGAAAACCTAGGTTTTATCATACTAAAATTTTATTTTGTATATGATGTTTGGTTTTTTAAACTTACTAACATAAGGATTTCCTTTAATATTCCAAATACAGTTCTTGTTGAAACAGTATCCAACATGAAATCTTATCTCCTTGCTTTTAGACTTAGTGCTATTTACTATCTAATGACTTTTATATGGTAAGCCAGGGTACATCCTATATACTACAGATACCTTAGGTTTCAGTACTTTTATGCAGCTTCTTCATTGTGTCATATCTGTAACAGAGCTCTGATGAAATTAAAAAATATATGATTAATAGGATTGTTTCACCATTTCAGAAATCAGAGTAGAAAACAAAATAGCTGCCGGGTGCAGTGGCTCACACCTGTAATCCCAGTACTCTGGGAGGCCGAGGTGGGCAGAACACGAGGTCAGGAGTTTGAGACCAGCCTGACCAACATGGTGAAACCCTGTCTCTACTAAAAATACAAAAAGTAGCTGGGCATGGTGGCACATGCCTGTAGTCCCAGTTTCTCGGGAGGCTGAGGCAGAAGAATCACTTGAACCCAGGACGTGGAGGTTGCAGTGAGCCAAAATCATATCACTGCACTCCAGCCTGGGCGACAGAGCGAAACTCCTGGTCTCAAAAAAAAAAAAAAAAAAAATGCTAACCATAGTTCTGAAGTCTTTGGCCATGAGTGTTCTTTAATGGTCTAAAAAGCGGTTTTAGTCATGCCGGTGCCAAGGAGCTCTCCTCACATCTCCATAGCGTCAATGTTGACCTATTTTATATATTTTTAAGTTGCAGATTATAGATACAGAAAGAGAAAATTGTCCTTTATGTGTGCATGAGTATACATGCACTGTGCCTGTGCTACACCAATGAAATATTCCAAAAGACACATTGCTCACTCATAGTCTGAAGTTGACATTTGTTAACTTTTAAATCTATATGTGGTCAGTGTAAGTGGTTGGTTTTTATTCTTGTCAAACAATGAAATAACTTAAAGCAGCATGGGCTAATGGTGGTATTTTTTTTTAACCACATGTTAATTTGTTGAAGGAAGAAGTGAACATAAGATTTTTGATAATCAGCCTAAAGCTTCAGAAATTGGATCAGTAAGAGCTAAAGATGAAATCCTGGGAAACCTTCCCAGGCACTGTGCAGGGGAGGGAGGGGCTGGACCGCCACTGCTGTGAGGGAGGAATGGGAAGAGCAGCCCCTGGCTGGGTGAGAAGGGCAGAGTGGATGGCCCTTCATTCCTGGAAGGCTGAAGCAGCCAGAGGCAGTGATTCATCTCTTTAATGTCTAATCAGGGAGAGAGACAGGAGTGACGTGAGTTTTATTTTCATTTTTGTTTTAACAAGTTCCCACTGTATCTTAATTCTCAAAAATGATCTGGCCTAATCTATAGAACTGGCTGAGTTTGAGAATCATTTAAAATTTGGAATTTTCTATACAAGTCAGGAACATACCTGAAAGCTAAAACATTTAATGGAGGCAGGGGGGCTGCCCCCAGCTCCCTTCTGCCATTTACACAAAATATTTGAAAACATGTCTGTAAATAATGTTGTAGAACTGAGATACTGAGTATCATGTAAAGGACCCTCAGATGGGACAGGCTGTTGAACAACTTTCCTAGATCATGAAGTGGAATTTCCTTTTTGAGTAGTTTCTTGCACGGTGTATTCCAATAGTTCAAACCCAGACCTACAGTTTGCAACCAGGCCATCTGTAGACAATATAATCTCTGGACTGCCCAGGACTTGTTGCTTGTCTTTCATTTCATTTTAAATACAAAGCTCTTCCTTTAGCATTCACCTTAAAGTCAAGGTGCTGGCTGCCACCTGCCATGTCCTCTTAGAAGATAAGAAAACAGTGGCTATGGAGCCCTCACGGCTGGGAAGCTGACATTCTATGTACTTCCACATGAGAAAAAGGACATTGGAAAGTTGCTTTATTTCTGGGCAGCGTAGACTAAAGTTACTTTTCACAAGGCTGATGCATCCAGCCACCCCCAGTTGTCCAAGTTGGTGCAGACATGAATTGATGAACTGAAACACTTTCCTTTGGCCTAGGGCCACCTAGAATTGGTCTCTGGTTATTTGTAAAACAAAAAGTAGAACTTGGTTCCATTTTCAGATGGACTAGGGAATACTATAATTTGACAGCTTTGCAATGAATTAACAAATACTGAAAAGTTGGAAATGTGTATATACTGAAATCTCACCAACTTTTACCTGGGGTGGGGTACCAGGAGAAAGGGGGTTATAATAGGGTAAGGGGGGGGGGATAATGTTTACCACAGGTACGAAGTAGTCACTTTAACATTGAGACCTCTGCCTCATTGAATTCAGGTTTTTTAAGTACTTGAAACTCTTCAGATTCTCCTTATTTTACAGTTTCTTTTTACATTTATGAAGTAGAAAGCATTGTTTTGTAAACCGTTTTGAAAATAAGTAGCCTAGTCTCTTATCCTCTTTAGCGTGGATTAAAGGTGAAGTTTTGCAAATGGGAGAGTGTTCAGAGTAGATAGCTCGGATTGATTGAACACATTTGAGGAAGAGACTCCTGCATGAGATACCAGCATTTTTACAAATACTTCTTATGTACGTTCTTTATTTTGTCATTTTGTCAACCCTGTCCCCAAGCACATCTTCTTTCCTTTTACTATGTCTATGTAGGGAAAAAAATAAAAAAATTGCACTTACGTTACACTCGCAAAATGTGGGTAATCTGTGTCTTTCAAAAAACATTTCTGTTTTTTGTTTTGTTTTGGTCAGTCCATTGCGTAAGTGGCAAGTTTGGGTGCTTGTGGCAAGTATGTACGAAGTGGGAGGGGGATGAGAATTGCCTGTCCTTCAGTAGGCTGTAAAAGTAATTTACATGTAAGTAAAAAGGGAAAATAGAATAGATGCCAAAGTCATTTATTCAGTCTTTAAGTTTTCTTATGTGGCATTACTGCATCTGCTAGTTAGTGAGAAAGCACCCTAAGCTTTTACTGCTCCCCTCCCTGCCTGCCAACACACTTGATGTGTGCAAACAGCCCTCAAGTATCTGTCAGATTACCTATAGAAGGTATTGATAAGGTATTCTTGTCAGTTTAGAAATGGACTGGATAAAACTTACTTTGTTGTCATTTTATCTCATTTGTCCTGTTACATGCCCTATGTTAAGAAAATCATATTGCCACTAATAACCAAGATGCTAAATGAGTATTACAACTGGCTAATATCATTTTTTATATACAAGGGTATGTGTATATTTGGAATTGATACAAGAAATTCATTTGTACCCATTTGAGTGATATTGCACAACAAAACACAGATACCTACAGACTCCATTTTCATTTTCTCGTGTTCTTTATGATGATGATCTTTGTAGATTGGTTATTTCTGTACTTTATCTGTAATAAACTTTGTAGATCCTGTGAACTGTTATTTTGCCTAAATCACTTGAGACTTGAGTCTTTAATAACAAAGCATCAATATTCACTAAAGTCAATCTCTTTTGAGTTTCTGTGACTTGGCTAGAAGCTCTTGACACTAAGGGATTAGTGTTCATTTTCCCTGGGGGTGTTCCACTAGGGCATTACTGTATAATGACTTGATGTTGCCACATAGACTTCAAGATATATAATATTTTGAGGATTTTGTTGATTGGCCTATGTTTTATTGCATAGTGTGAAATGTGTAAAGCTTGGTTAACCTGTATATAGATAGCTTATTGTTGACTAGTTACAGTGTATTTAGGATTGCCTGTAATATTTAAGCTTCTTTACTGATGTGTGTGCTGGTAGGAACATATAATTTTTGTACATTATATTTACTGATGTTGCCTTTTTTATTTTACAAATACTTTGGAATTCCAATGTGTTTTTTGCTTCCGTGAGGATTAATTTGGAAAGGTTTTTAATGACATTCCACTGATTTCAGATTTTGCTTGAGATTGACTTCAATAAATTGTCCTGTATGTTCCAAATTAAATATATGGGCTTGTTCTTTGCCAGTAATTTTTTGCTACAACACTCTGGGCAGGAGGCCATCCTGGGTGGGAGGACTAAATGACACAATCTAGCCAACCTCAGCCAGTGTAGTTTCCTGCAGAATGCGGCTGTGTTGCTAGGGAACCAGGATCTGAGAGCCAGCTGTTTGGTTTTCTGTTTAGAGGCGAGGTCCCGGGAGAAGGCTGCTCCCCGCGGTTGTGTGGTTGGGGTGTGGAGAGGAGCTGCTCATGGACCGCACGCCGACCTACTCGGCTGAAACTGGGGCGTTGGCTCCCCGCTGAACGCACCGGAGGGCAGCTCCGCTGACTTTGCGTCCCCTTTGCCCTCGGCACAGCCGCCAGGCCGGCTTCCTGGGCAGCGGCCGGAGCGCGGGCGGCTGGGAGAGGGGGCGGTGAGCAGTTCCCGGCCCGGCCCTCCCCGCGGAGGCGGCCACGTCAGCGCGGCGTCGCTCGGCGCTCGCGGCCGGATGGGGAAGGCGGCGGCGGCGGTGGCCTTTGGGGCCGAAGTGGGCGTGCGGCTCGCGCTGTTCGCGGCCTTCCTGTAAGATCCACGGCCGGGTCCGGGCGGCCCCGCTTCCCAGGCAGGCAGGCGGCAGGGGGCGGCGGGCCGGGCAGTGGGGAAGCAGGGAGGAAGCCAGGCGACCTGCTCTGCGCTTCTTTGTTCCCCTCTAGGGTGACGGAGCTGCTCCCCCCGTTCCAGAGACTCATCCAGCCGGAGGAGATGTGGCTCTACCGGAACCCCTACGTGGAGGCGGAGTATTTCCCCACCAAGCCGATGTTTGTGCGTGGAGAAAGATCGTCCCTCTTCCCTCCCCGTAACCGGGCTTCCCGCGGGCACCTGTGCTTTTTCCTCCGTGGAGACGGCCTCTGTAGGGACCCACTACCCACTCCGCTGCTATGCGCTGGGTTCCGCCTCCTAGGGCTCTAGTGTTTAAGATCCTGATTGAGAGAGGAGGATGTCCGAGCCTCTTTCGGCTGATACAACGTTTTCCCGGGTGCTCTGTGCCTCAGCCTGAGGTACCGGGGCCCGAGCCGCACAGTTGCTGCTGTTCGCTGGTGGCGCCGCCTGGCTCCCGGTTATGCGCTTTCAGACACCTTATGTTAGCGCTAGTGAGTCCTGCTGTTTCACGTCCCTCTTTCCTGTAGGAGCTACTTTAACCATGAGTGTGGCTTTTTTTTTTAATTGTTTTTAACCTCTGACATTCTAATTCAGGTTATTGCATTTCTCTCTCCACTGTCTCTGATCTTCCTGGCCAAATTTCTCAAGAAGGCAGACACAAGAGACAGCAGACAAGCCTGCCTGGGTGAGCACTAGTCCTTTCTGGCCGGTGTCTTCGTGCTGGGAATCTAGGAAGTCGTTGTGGGGTTCAGCCACGGTGAGCCTGTGTGGAGGCCACTGAGTTCTGCATTCCTAAAGGAACTCCATCCCCGCGGGAGAGGAAAATAGCACTGCAGGGACTTGGTTATGCAGGCTACACCGCAGGCAGCCCTGTGCCTAAATGCACTGGGTTATTTGTACTTCAGAAATGTCTTTGGCCTAGTACAAAAGTTCTCGACTACAAAAGTGATCACTGAAGACCTTAATTATTTTTGGGCCCAGGTCTTGTTGGGTTCTATCCATCTCAGAAACAGTACGGCTGCTCTCTTAATGAGGCTATGACCATGCCTTTCCTCCTAGGCAGATCCTTCTAACTTAGGGCTTTGCTTTGCAGCTGCCAGCCTTGCCCTGGCTCTGAATGGCGTCTTTACCAACACAATAAAGCTGATCGTAGGGAGGTAAGTGACGACAGCTAACCACCTCAGCGTCTGCTTCAGCCCTTACCCACCAGGACAGTGGTGGTGTCCACCACACGTCTTTCTCATTCTTTTCCCTTTATCTTCACTCTGATTTTTCTTTTCTCATTCAACGCTTACTCCCTTCCCCATACCTCAGTCCTCCAGGTGACACCTGGGCTCTTTTCTGCCCTGAACAGCATTTCCCACCAACGGCCACAGCAGAGCCGGTCAGTGTCCTCTCGAGCACCTCCTGAAGCTGCAGGGTCATTTGCTGTTTGCCCTAGAAACTAATCATGTACTGGAGTGGGGTTTTCCCCTAATTTAAATGCTGACCTTGGAAGTAAGACTTTTCTCTTAGTGTGGTGACTATACTAATCCAGTTACTTTATTTTGCCTGGGGCACTGTTTGACCAATAGTTAACAGGATTATTAATGTCTGCTACAACTGAAAAATAATTTCTGGAGTTAATGATTTACGTTCCAACCATGCTTCTTGCTTCCAGGCCACGCCCAGATTTCTTCTACCGCTGCTTCCCTGATGGGCTAGCCCATTCTGACTTGATGTGTACAGGGGATAAGGACGTGGTGAATGAGGGCCGAAAGAGCTTCCCCAGCGGACATTCTTCCTGTATGACTATCATATGGACTCTACCCCTATGCTTGTTTTCATGTCATTGAATTTAACCTAGAAAGCTAGTAGGCTAGTAGGGATGGGAAAATCTGACTACTCTTGTTTCTAGAATTTGGAAACCCCCCCCCCCGCTCCCCCCCCCCCCCCCCCCCCCGCCCCTTCTTTAGTAACTCCACAGTTTAGCAAGTCTGAGCCTTGACTATCTGGGTAAATATTACAGAACAGAAAGAATTTACCTTTATAAGATTTGCACAGTTAATTATTATTATATTATTTGCCTAGATCCTGCAATCTTGTACTAGCAGTAAAAATACCTTTAACGAAGAGTGTATGTGTGTCAGGTGCTTGGAAGCATTTTCATTTACCTAATTATAGCTCACAATAATCCAGTGAGGTGGGGACTATTATTTTTATGAGTCCCATTTATAGATGAGGAAACTAAAGCATCAACAAGTTAATTCATATAGCTAGTATTCTGAAAACTATACTCTGATAAAACATGAACTTTGGGGCACTAAGTCCTTCATTTTTCTTTTTGTTTCCCTTTCCTTCACAATGATTTACACTAGAAGTATACACAAAAAAGGATTAAAACATCCTCATGGCCGCGTGTGGTGGCTCATACCTGTAATCCCAGCAATTGGGAGGCCAAGGCATGCAGGTCACTTGAGGCCAGGAGTTCGAAACCAGGCTAACCAACATGGTGAAATCCCGTCTCTACTAAAAATAAAAAAATTAGCCGTGGGTGGTGGCACATGCAAATAGTCCCAGTTACTGAGGAGGCTGAGGCAGGAGAATCGCTTGAACTCGGGTGGTGGAGGTTGCAGTGAGCCGAGATGGTGCCACTGCACTCCAGCCTGGATGACAGAGCAAGACTCTGTCTCAAAAATAAATAAATAAATAAAAACATACTCATGCTTCCTAGCCTCCTATGTGGGGATGAATGAGGTAGCTTCCTTTAAAAGACACACCACTTAAAAGTTTTTCTTGTTCCAGTTGCATTTGCTGGTCTGGCCTTTGCTTCCTTCTACCTGGCAGGGAAGTTACACTGCTTCACACCACAAGGCCGTGGGAAATCTTGGAGGTTCTGTGCCTTTCTGTCACCTCTACTTTTTGCAGCTGTGATTGCACTGTCCCGCACATGTGACTACAAGCATCACTGGCAAGGTAAGCAAAGTACTCAAGCCATGGAAGCTTGCATATTTCACTCATTTTATTCCTAGCACCTAGCATAGAGGAGACAGTTACTAAATATCTGCTGAATGAACAAAATAATGAATATGGATGGTCTGGGTTCTATACTAAGAATATATATTTAAAATTATAGGAAAGATAAGACAAAAAGAGTTTACCAAAGATATCCTAATTTTTCCATTATTTGAAGCATTGTAAGTTCAAGTTAAACTGCATCTACAGGAAATTTAAAACCTCAGAGTTCAATTTACTCTCTTAAAAATTAGGTTCATTGTCATAGGACTTTTGTTCAAAAACATAAGTAAAATTCAAGAAAACGTAAAATTATAATCAAACCAAACAAGTTTAAGCTGAATGCTATAGTAAGTAAAATATCCAAATTGTAGAACACCTGGCTGGGCGTGGTGGCCTACGCCTATAATTCCAGCACTTTGGGAGGCTGAGGCAGGCGGATCGCCTGAAGTCAGGAGTTCAAGACCATCCTGGCCAACATATTGAAACCCCGTCTCTACTAAAAATACAAAAACTGAGGCCAGGCGCAGTGGCTCACGCCTGTAATCCCAGCACTTTGGGAGGGTGAGGTGGGTGGATTACCTGAGATCAGGAGTTCAAGACCAGCCTGACCAACAGAGTGAAATGCTATCTCTACTAAAAATACAAAATTAGCTGGGCGTGGTGGCACATGCCTTTCATCCCAGCTGCTTGGGAGGCTGAGGCAGGAGAATGGCTTGAACCTGGGAGGTAGAGGTTGCAGTGAGCCGACATCGCACCACTGCACTCCAGCCTGGGCAATGAGAGCAAAACTCTGTCTCAAAAATAAATAAATAAAAATACAAAAATTAGCCAGGCATGGTGGCACATGCTTGTAGTCCCAGCTACTCAGAAGGCTGTGGCAGGAGAATCGCTTGAACCCAGGAGGTGGAGGTTGCAGTGAGCTGAGATCACGCCACTGCTCTCCAGTCTGGGTGACAGAGTGAGACTCTGTCTAAAAAAAATAAAAAATTATAGAATACCTTCAAAACCACAATTCCAAAAAAACGTTGGAAGTACTGCCCACAGGTCCTCAGGAACCCTATTTTAAATAAACTAGTTTTCTGCAAAGAGAAGCAACTTTTTTTTTTTTTTTTGAGCGATTCTCCTGCCTCAGCCTCCTGAATAGCTGGGATTACAGGCATGTGCCACCATGCCCGGCTAATTTTTGTATTTTTAGTAGAGATGGGGTTTCACTTGGCCAGGCTGGTCTCGATCTCCTGACCTCGTGATCCGCCTGCCTCGTCATCTCAAAGTGCTGGGATTACAAGCATGAGCCACTGCGCCCGGCGAGAAGCAACCCTTAAAATACTTTATTCCTTCCTCTAGGACCCTTTAAATGGTGAAAATGGGTAGATGAATAGCAGTAAGTGGACCTTTGTCACTCTTCTGAGTTAGAAAAATTCTAATTTAGTACACTCAGAACAAAGCTTATTATACTTACTTAAGATGTGTTTTGATTTGGTGTTCAGAGAGCAACCTGACAATGATAATCCTGTAACTATGATAAAATTGAGAATAAAAATATTTTATTTAGAAACCATAAATCTGGAACTGAGGTTATTTTAAGCACCACCGTAGAGTATCCTGGAGGGCCAGGTCCTCTACGCTACATGTGTGTGTAGTAGGATTTAGGAGCCTAATATTAAGAGAAGACATTGTTTCCACTCTCTTCAGATGTACTAGTTGGATCCATGATTGGAATTACATTTGCCTATGTCTGCTATCGGCAGTATTATCCTCCTTTGACAGATGCAGAATGCCATAAACCATTTCAAGACAAACTTGCACTTCCAACTGCACAGAAGAAGCCTGGGGATTCTTATTGTTTTGATATTTAAAAATTGAATCTGGCTGGGCATGGTGGCTCATGCCTGTAATCACAACACTTTGGGAGGCCGAGGAGGGTGGATCACCTGAGGTCAGGAGTTCGGGACCAGCATGGCCAACGTGATGAAACCCCGTCTCTACTAAAAATACAAAAATTAGCCGGGAGTGGTGATGTGCCTGTAATTCCAGCTACTCGGGAGGCTGAGGTAGGAGAATTGCTTGAACCTGGAGGCGGAGGTTCCAGTGAGCCAAGATCGTGCCACTGCACTCCAGCCTAGGCAACAGAGCGAGACCCTCCTCAAAAAAAAAAAAAAAAAATTGAATCTACCTTAATGGAAAATAGGTGAACTAGCCCTCCTAACTGGACCATGCACAAGACAAGAAATTCTGGCCTTTTTTTCCTCTTCCAAGGTGCAAGTGAGGACATAAGCTACACTGTATTCTGCCTCCAAATGATTACACACTTTTGTCCCTGCTCACACAGATCTATCTTGAGGAGTTACGGTTCTTTTCTACTACTGTATGCCATACATTCTAGTAAAAGGATCTTTCAAAGGTGTCCAACACCTTATAAATCTGGTCTATCAGATTGATATCCGAAGATCTACAGTGTTTTTACATTTAATTTTTTTTTTTTTTTTTTGAGACGGAGTCTCGCTCTGCCGCCCAGGCTGGAGTGCAGTGGCCGGATCTCAGCTCACTGCAAGCTCCGCCTCCCAGGTTCATGCCATTCTCCTGCCTCAGCCTCCCCAGTAGCTGGGACTACAGGCGCCCGCCACCTCGCCCGGCTAGTTTTTTGTATTTCTTAGTAGAGACGGGGTTTCACCGTGTCAGCCAGGATGGTCTCGATCTCCTGACCTCGTGATCCGCCTGCCTCGGCCTCCCAAAGTGCTGGGATTACAGGCTTGAGCCACCGCGCCTGGCCTTTACATTTAATTTAAACGCCATTCTTAGAAAGATCTTGTCACAAAGAAGCCTTTACATAGCCCCATCTTATCTCAGAAGCTAATTATCAAAACTTAATTTCCATTTCGTATAGCTCAAGATCTTAAAATCTAGGACATGGCCAACTAAATTACTTTGATTCTGTTTACCTTCTCTGATGACAATTCCATCAAGCCTTAAATAGGAAAATGTTGAATCTGGGGTAATTTATCACTTTTGTGCACATCTTATCTGAGTCCAGCCATCTGGTACTGCTGTACATTTTGAACACCGTGGGTATAAACAATTTGTTGAATTACTAAGTGAACACAATAATAAAGAAGAAAATGGTCAGGAGTGTGGTTTCAGCACTACTAACAGATGACTATTTCTACCTCATTTGACCATAACTGTGCTCGCGAGCTTCCTTCCTTCCATTCATGACTGAAGATCTGCTCAAATGCACCAACACTGCCAAGTGACTAAGGCAGAAAAGAAAAATGACAGGTATCATCATCTGAAGGACAGATAAATCTTTTTCTGCCTCTTCTTCACAATGGGATATAAGGAACAATTACAGGATGTCATCAGAACTGATGCTGTAGGACCTACAGCTCCCTTTCTCTTTATTGTGATTGTACTTTAAATATGACCTTGTCTTTTATGTGTATCTTCCTATATTTTCAATATATCTATCTTTTTCCTTCAGTAAACCTGATATTCAAATAAAATGGTAAATGTGTGCTTTTTAAAATATTTAAATTACATTAAGGGGCTGGAACTTTAGTAAAGCAAAACACTGAATTCCCCATCCGCCATAAGTGATTCAACTGCTGTTATCTATAGTACTGGCTAATATTTACAAATACCAAGGGAAAGTCTCTTATAATTGCCATGCTTTAAATTCTGAACTTAAATTCTGCCTATGACAATGAAAATACCAGTCAACGGGAAAGAACTTACATATTAGTTCTTTGCCCAAAACTTATTTTTTTGTTTTAGTAATACATAAAGGCAGATAAAATCGTGACTGTATTGATTTTCTTGACTTTGTGATGGGTGGGTCCAGGTAAAAGTAGGCCACTAGTCAGTATGGTTCCATTTTAGTATTTACTAAATTTTTAAATATAATCACGTAAAAAACAAACATTTCAAAAGTGCAAAATATTAGAAATCTAATCAGTGCTATTAATCTTTCCATGCAAACAATCTCTTTTGCTGAGATAAGTGATACTAGTTCTGCAGCTGGGAATATGTACAAAATGATGCTATACCAGACTTTAAAAATAGGCTTGGTCTAGAGATTGCACATAATACAAATGAAGCAGTGCAAATAATATATGACTAAATACAGGATTTCAATCAAGCTTATTATGCTGGGAATATACAGCTATAATACCATGAATAGACAAGATATAAAGTTCTTTCACAGTTACCCACCCTTCACCACTAGGAAAGAAACATTCCTTAATACAAAGAGTAGTTTATCTGGCTATCCAGGGCTATGCTGTCCATCTTTGGTTACAGGGACTCCCTCTGCTTATCCTTTGGTTTACTCTTAAACAGCGCCTGTTGTGCCAATAGGAAGAGTAAACATAAATTTGAAGACCACAACTTGGCAAAAGCTTCCCCTTAATATACAGTGAATACTTAATTCTCAATAACTCAGAGTTTATATACTTTTTAAAAAATAAAGTATTCCATATATCTGAAACTTAGTGGCATACTTAGCATTAGGCTATAAGGAGATGACAAAGAAAGGCCAGGCCTGACCTATACCCCAACCTTACCTCTACAGTCTCCATGGTGACAGTAATTACCCTTCATTTTCCTTTTCTCTCCAGAAAGGGATAAAGATCACTGCTGTCTAAGGAATGGCTTAGTAAATATTAAATGCCAGTGGCTTCGGAAACCATAACATTTATAAAAAAATTTATAAACAGTAAACCACAGCTCGCCTGCCTTTGCCACTCTATAAACAGAGGCCTGTGGAATCTGAGAGCAAGTATAAAGGACTATCATAAAGAGAACTACAAAGACAGTGACAAACTCTGACCAATGAAGAAGAAAAATCTACAGCAAAGTAGTGAAAAGATGCCTTGACAAAATTAGTGTGCAGTCACTTATGTTCTTAGAAGTAAACCTCACTTCATATGTTGCAGATTCGGCTGACACTGACTGCAATAGCTGTTTCTTGGACCCTACAGAAATAAGTTTTTCTTTCAGAATAAGTTAAACATTTCCCCCTAGCCAAACCTACCTGCCAACCAATGCTGCCTATGCCAAGAGCCTTTTAAATATGCTTTGCAGATTATGGATGCCTAAGAAGGAAAGAGGATACACAATACTACCTTAGCCCAAGTAGAAATGGCAGGTGACAAATTCTGTTTCACCATAAAGGCACCACTAAAAGATTTTATTTAGAACCTCAGCAGCCTGTACAGGCTACGTAATTTCAGGTTCATCAGCTTTTACAACTACTTTCAACATAAGAATAGAAGCTATTAGCAAATAACTTATATCAAATATAAAAGGGAGGCCTAGGATATACAACATCTTTGCTTTATAAAGATGCATCTAACATGAACTAACTTGTCAACTTTAGACTCTTACAGCAGCTCAAACAGTTGCAAAAACAATGAACATCAGTGATTTCTGGCAATAAGTCTGTCAGTCAGTTCTAAGAGAGTAAACAACACTTTTTTAAAGCTACATTTTAGTCTTTCTTCATATACTACACATAAGAAAGAAATGCAGGTTAAAAAATAAATCACCCAAAAGTCTTTTTCATATCCACTGAGACTTAGCCTTCAGTTCAATACAAACAAGAGATAAGTGTACTCCAAAATGCCTTCTAAATCTCAAGAATCTGTTTCCAAACTAGAACATTTTCTAAAGATAAGCAATAAGTTCCTTAAAAACATGTCTACGCCACCCAAAACAAATCAAACCCAAAATAGGCTATACACCATGTCAAGTACTAATCAATAAAGTGTGGCACCTACAAACTATCATCAAAGAATTAAAGATACAAACCACCCCCAGCTATGAAGAAAAAATGGCAAGTGTTTATATGAAGCCAGTGGTTAAAAGTAATAAGGCCTTTTGCTTTCCCATTCATTTCCAAAGAGGAAGATTATCTTCCAAAGACCACAGTGGTGAGTAAGTGGCAGCCAACATGCAGGAAATGACGCAGCTGAGGAGAGGAAAATTGCAGCAACAAACAGGTGGATTTTCTGGGGAAGGATCCCTCAATGTCCGTCTAGGGAAGAAAGTGGGAGAAGAGCTGCAGTCACAACTGGAAGGCAACCACAGAGAATGCCAGAGTCGAATATACAGACTTTGTAATTTCACATCTAAAAGGCTGAGTAATTTAAATCTCAGGATGGGTGGTTGGTAATTAAAATCATAACTGTTGCCACAGCAATTCTTAGTAACAGAACCATTAAGACTGAGTTTAGATCCTAAAAAATGACAGGTGTCATTGGACAAAATCTCTAGCAAAACAGACATACACTAATCTTCCTCTAAATGGGCTACTGTGTTTTTTTCCCCATAAATTTCTACCAGTCCCTCTAAAAATGAATAGCAGCCTAGATCCTGGTGATAGACAATAGCAAGTATATTTACAAAGAGCTTGAGGCTCCATCGCTCATTATAACATGTTAATATGTAAGAATTACACTACAGGCCGGGCGCGGTGGCTCAAGCCTGTAATCCCAGCACTTTGGGAGGCCGAGACGGGCGGATCACGAGGTCAGAAGATCGAGACCATCCTGGCTAACACGGTAAAACCCCGTCTCTACTAAAAAATACAAAAAACTAGCCGGGCCAGGTGGCGGGCGCCTGTAGTCCCAGCTACTCGGGAGGCTGAGGCAGGAGAATGGCGTGAACCCGGGAGGCGGAGCTTGCAGTGAGCTGAGATCCGGCCACTGCACTCCAGCCTGGGCGACAGAGCAAGACTCCGTCTCAAAAAAAAAAAAAAAAAAAAAAGAATTACACTACATACATGACATTTTAAAACTTACATTAAGCAGGCATAGATGGGTTATTTTTACTGTAAAGGCTGATCAAGGAAGATACCCTGGGTTTGGTAGATCTCTTTGAGGACCAGCAATACTGTGTCTTCAGACTCCCTATAAAGAAAAAAATTATATTGAGAAAAGGAACTAACATTTGTGCCAAATGTTTTACATATATTATCTCATTTAATCCATACAACCATTTTGCAAGTTTATTTTTCACTTTTGCAAAGAAATGAGATTCAGAGGTAATGTAATTGGCAGTGGTTTGGAAGGTGACCTAGCAAAGAACTCTGGCATTAAATCTAGTAATATAAAAAAGCTAGTAAGAAAGGCCAGGTGCGGTGGCTCACACCTGTAATCCTAACACTCTGGGAGGCTGAGGTGAACAAGTCACTACAGGTCTGGAGTTTGAGCTAGCCTGGCCAACATGGTGAAACCTTGTCTCCACTAAAAATACAAAAACTAGGGCCAGGCACGGTGGCTCACGCCTGTAATCCCAGCACTTTGGGAGGCCGAGGTGGTTGGATCACGAGGCCAGGAGTTCGAGACCAACCTGGCCAATATGGTGAAACCCCGTCTCTACTAAAAATACAAAAATTAGCAGGGTGTGGTGGTACGCACCTGTAGTCCCAGCTACCAGGGAGACTGAGGTAGAAAAATCGCTTGAACGTGGGAGGCGGAGGTTGCAGTGAGCCGAGATCATGCCACTGCACTCTAGCCTGGGCGATAGGTGAGACTCCCTCTAAAAAAAAAAAAAAACTAGCCAGGCATGGCAGCATGTGCCTATAGTCCCAGCTATTCATGAGGCTGAGGCAGGAGAATTGCTTGAACCCAGGAGGCGAAGGTTGCAGTGAGCCGAAGGTTGCAGAGAGCCACTGCACTTCAGCCTGGGCCACAGAATGAGACTCTGTCTCAAAAAAAAAAAAAAAACAAAGAGGCCAGTAAGAAATAACCAAGAATTGTTCCTTTTCCACAGAGATCATTCTAGAGACACTACTGAAGAGTCATCCAGTTGGTCACCTTAATTTTTAAAATATTATGCACTTTTTGGAAAAGGTAATACAATCATAAGGTTCCAAATTCCAAAAATATAATAAAGTAATGAAGTCTCCCTCCCACCTTTGTTCCTCAAACACCACCAGTTCCCATCTTCTGACAACCAGTGTTATCAATTTCTCATGCATTTTCCAGATATTATTCTATGTATGCACAAGCAATTACTTACATCCACAGTTCATAACGAAATTTGATTTAAAAAGATTAACATTCATGAGGGACTGCCTTAAGGATATAAGGCTCTAATTCTTCTAGATCTGTGGTTCAACATTTATGGAGTCATGCATCCTTTTGAGAATCTAATGAAATTATGGATTTCTCCCCAGAAAGGATCACATTGCAACCACAATTATAAATGTGTATTTCACTGGATTCATAGACTTCCCTCATCTCCCACAAACTCATAGACACAGACCCCAGCTTAAGAAATTCCTGTATCAACAAGTGGGAATTAGCTCTATCAGATATTAAAATGGTACATAAATAAGCAAATCAATAAATAAGAAGTTGAGAAATAGTCCCATTTATGTATAGGAATTTAATTAAGTGGCCATGCACGGTGGCTCACACCTATAATCCTAACATTCTGGGAGGTTGAGGCAGGTGGATCACCTGAGGTCAGGAGTTCGAGACCAGCCTGGCCAACATAG